CAGTCGGTCCTCAAGGACCAGCCGGAAAGCCTGGTCCAGAAGGTCTTCGGGGCATCCCTGGCCCTGTGGTGAGCATCTGTGCTAAAAGATGCTATTTGAGAACAGCATTTTATTTATAAAAAAACTATAAATGAAATGTTTACATCAGAATTATTTCATAAGTTGTGCAGATGTTTTTATGGGAATTCAAGTAAATATTATGCAGTAAAGTCAGAGACTCTTAAAATTTTAAAATGTCATTTATTTAATAAGTCATGGTGAAATTATAACGTATAAAGGCAGAATAAAAAACCAAACCCTAAGATCTCAATGTCGTAAAAATTTTACACATACACGTACGCATTCATATATATACACACATATATATGCACGTGTGTTTATGATATACTATGTGTGTGTTACACACACAGTAAAAGGACAGAAAAATTGCTTGCAGTATTTGTAGATGTTCTCTATTTGGTGGAACTCATAGGTGTTGGATGTTTTTTTCCTTTTTGTATTTCCAAAATTTTAAAAAAGAAAAATAAATGTATACTTTTTAAATAAAAAAAATCAATCATTTTTATTTTCTGTAGGGAGAACAAGGTCTCCCTGGAGCTGCAGGCCAAGATGGACCACCTGGTCCTATGGTGAGTAGCATCTTTTCCATTATTTAAAAAGAGAGAATTCCCAAAACAAATTATTATAAGCTAGAATCTCTGAAAATTTAGCTTATAATTTGGTTTACATTTTGTACGATATGAAAGGAAATATATTACTGAGACTTTATAAAGAGAAAAATAATCCTAACTGATAAGTATATGGAAAATATGCCACTTGATCACAAGATCTTTCATTACTTATACTCTTTGGATGAAAAAAAATGATTTCCATTCTGAATAAAATGCCACTAATGGTCCAGCCAGTCCTTTTCCTAGTATGTACAGTTCCCTAAAATGCATGCAATTAAACTTAGTTTCTTGGCACTTCATTTAAAAGAGTAATGTTGGCACAGGCACATAGTGATTTTTTTGTCAAAATAAATTGTTCTCTTCATGAGTCATGCAGGGTGTAAGATAAAACACTAAATCCCAATAGTGAAGAAAGATATGATTGTTACAATACTGAAGCTTGATTACTATGATAAACTCTATGTGCAAACAACATGCTTGAGAAACAATAAAGGATTTAGTTGACCAGCATACTATTTATAGATGGAATTTATTATAGAATCCAAGGCTATCCTTGCTACAAAATCTGGGCAAAAAGTGAGAATAAAAGACTTGCCTTGTAAAATCATTGCTTACTAGCTATTTTGTTTGCTTTATAAACAGATTCTGTTTAACACTAACAATATTTAAAATTCATTGTCCAAAAATAGTTATGTATAAATGCATCAATCAAAACAACAAACCATGCATATAGCACTCTACAAAAGTGATGCATATTGGTTAAAATAGTCAACTGCATATGGTAATTTAAGCTTTATGCAAATACCTTTCATCATGCTTATATTAATTATCTCAGATATATACATACTCAGAAAGCCATCCAAACTAGGATTCACAATCCTAATTATTCAGAATGAAATTTGGCTCTTCCTTTTAATAAAGATGGCACAACAATTTCCTTTAGCACACCTACCAAGTATTTCATAAGTGTTGAAGAGATTTCTTTTAAGCTAGGAGAAGTTAAAGATCATTTATTTATTAACTGGTTAAAAGTTATTGAATTTTTATAAGACTTCAATCAGGAGATCATCAGCTCTGAACATTATCTCATCTGCATGGGAACAGGGCCTGGTTGAAGCAAGATGGGCTCCATGTCTGCACCACTTTCTAGGGAATATTGTCTTTACATATGGTCAACTCCTAACTGCACAGAGTCAGAGCTTGGAAAAAAACATTTTGTGTCTTAAGGTCACCCTAAAATTTGCCAGAGATTTTTTTTTTGTTATTTCAGATTTTCCAATAAGTATTTTGACCTTTCTGCAGATGAAATAAAAAGTACCACACTGGAGATTTCCTTTAGCTAATATTAAAAATAAAACCATCAGACATACCATCTGATTGCAGCTTGCAAAAGTTTGTATTGCTGACTCGTAAGTACAAGTGAGTTTACAGCACAGGAGGGCTGAACAACTCAAGCCCTGTTAAGCAAAGGGAAATGGTAAGCAGCCCATTCTCTGGCTGCTTCTTTCATAGGAGAGTACTTGCAACATGAATGTGATGTAGCTTTTTCATAGCTTCAGTTAGTCTTGACTGTGATATCTAATCTCAATGAAAATGTCACTTGGTCCTCATGAGGTGAGGGTGGAAAAAATTATCTTCAGAATGCTATTTATGGCAAATTAATGAGCTTATCCACTCAGCTAAGAAAGATTTGTTTTAGAAGGTAAATTTTTAATCAGTGAGAAGTAGCTTATCGTGGTTACTGGTTAATGTACTTGACTCTAGAGCCAAACTGACCTCAAAAACCAGCACTCACACTTTTAATTATTTTTTTATTTTTAGATTTAGGTTCTATATTTGTAAAATGGAAATATTTATAGCATTTATCCCATTAGATGTTATAAAGTTTAAATGAGTTATCCTGGATTATTAATATCTTCTAACCCATGGGGTTCTTATTTGTAAAGCATGTAGACCATTAACTGACACTAGCAGCACTGAATACAGAATTATTAAATGAATGAAATAATGATAAATATTTTGAAAAACAATCAGTTTCATATTCTTAGTGAAATCTAACTAAATTTGACATAATTGTGCGTGTGTATCATCGGTTAACCTGTTGCAAGTTGTTGGCTGTTAAAGCAAACGGGGGAGATCGACAAGTGCAGTAGTTAGAACATGGTGTAAGTCCAAGCAGAGGATGCTAGGCATACTCAGAGTAGGATATTTAAATGTCATCTCCTGATTATTAAAGAAGGAAAAGAGAAGCTTAAGTGTGGAGAGATGTGGGAGGTGAGGCTAACAGAGATTTGAAAACTGGTACAAGTTTGCATTAATCTCTGCAATTAATCCATGTGAAATTTATATGAATAATACTTTCTCTGTAATGAGTTTTTTTCTCATTGTAAATATATTCACACCCACATCCAAGTCTATGCAGGCTTCCGTTTTCTTATCACTAGAGTTCCACAACTACCAATTGGGTCACTTTTCCCCTTCCAGAAGCTGCCTATAACTTCCTACTATAGCGTTGCACTGGTCAGACAGAACTACTAAGACAGTCCCGTTTTCCTCAACTTGTAAATATAACTTAGCTGTTCAGTAAGTACAACTCACCTGCTTTCATCTTTCCAGACTGGCAGCTACCTAATTAGACAATTGATGTCTACCTAACAGAGCATCCAGGTAGATAACAGTTTAACAATTTTATAGGAACCACCTAGAGGTGAAATTCTTTGGGATAAAGTGAAACAAACATATATTTTAAAACTCTAAAAGTGTTTTTTGCTTGGTATCTTCCTACTCTATGTTATCAGCTCTACTAGAGTTCAGATATGGTATGGTATTTATTTTTTACTTTAAAAGTTAGGTATTTCTGGGCCGACCCTGTGGCGCACTCGGGAGAGTGTGGCACTGGGAGCGCAGTGGCGCTCCTGCCGCGGGTTCGGATCCTATATAGGGATGGCCAGTGCACTCACTGTCTGAGCGTGGTGCGGACGACACCTAGCCAAGGGTTGCGATCCCTTTACCAGTCACAAAAAAGACAAAAAAAAAAAACGTTAGGTATTTCTCATAGTAAAAATCAGGTTAAATTTGGTATATGCATAAATTATACACACACACACACACACACACACACACACATACATTTAGAATCACCAGATGGAACTGAGGAATACATGTGGGAACTAATGGAAAGCTAAGGACAATGATGGGCCTGTATGAAGAATTCTATTAGAGTTTTTTAAAGTGGAACTGCTGGTTTCTTGAGTAGTCAACAAACATTAAATGGGAATTAGACTGAGTGTTTTAAAGAGAAGAGTAAAGATGGCTAAATTCTGCCCTGTGCTACAAGGTAAAAATTAACAAGATTTCATATTTTGTGAAACTAATATTTATATGATTTTTGGCAGGCAGAATTACATCTGTTTACATTTTAAGCTTTTATTTTGTCTTGTTTCATATTCTTTTCTTTTATGAACCTGTTTTTCCAAATACTGAATAATGTTTCAGCTACACTGAAGCAAATAGGTTGTTAAAATTATTCAGTATTTATCTTTGGAGAAGTTTACCTTAGCATTGTTATACATTCCTTTTTTTCACAGTGATAAATAAAATATCTGATAGCATTATTTTTCAAACCACAAAAGCCTGAATAAAGGGTAGGATGGGTTGCTGAATTACAGTTTGATTTTTTTCTTTAATTATGCATTTGATCAATCTGTAAACAGGGTTGAGATGTGTAGTATTTCATAATGATTAAATAAGTTTAAATAACAAAGCATTTACTTTTCGCCAAATTAAACATTTTACATTTTTGTCTCCTAATTAAAGTGTAAGATATGAAGTTTCTTTAAACTTCAATGCGTTAGAGTTCTGAGGTGAAGATCAAAACAAATATTACTTAAAGCAGGGGGAAATGCTTATGTGTTCTATATACTTAAGAATGTATTGTCCCTGTTTTCCTTTTCACTTTATTACTTAAGAATTATGTATTTCCCTAAAGGCTTTCAATTTACAATATCATAAAAAGGAAACAGAAAATATGTATACTTGGAATAACATTTTTATATGCAAAGTTGGTGTTTTTGATCTGTTCCAAGTTCAGAGGATTATTTATAACTATCTCAACATCACAATGTTACGAATTCTTATGTCCATGTGATGAAAATAAGAAACTTATTTTACTTGGCAAATTTATTTTGAGATATAGTTTGTAATTTCATGAGAGATAGTTTAGAGGGATTAATACTTATTACCTCTAACTCCTTTGTGAATGATACTCATAGAAAGGATTAAAATGCATTTAAAACACAAATAGTTTCTAGTATATTTCTCATTAAGCCTGAACAATTATAATTACTAGGATTTCTTCTTTTTTGACACATTAGCTTTTACTATTAGACTGGGGTGAGAAAGTTGATAGGTATCCACCTGTAGCATATATAAAACTAATAATATTTAACATTTGTGTTATGCTTTACCATTTATGCAGTTTTTTGTAAGCCTGGTTTTTCTTTCATTATCACATTATGTCAGTTGTTATTTTTAGAATACTGTTTATAAAATAAACTCTGAGATAATAACTGATAGATCCAAGATAATCCAACTGATAAGATGTAGACTTGAAACTCTTCAAGCGAAACAGTAATTGAAATATTGACGCCCAGCAAGCTCTATCAGTTCTCCCAGTTATATCAAAATTTTTGTAAGTGTATAACATGCTGAGAGATTTTGAATAAAAAAAGAGAACTAAAAAATGAGAAAAGTCTGGCCTCTTGAAATAGTTTCATATTTGTAATATAGAGAATTTTAATCTAGAGATTTTTAACTTACATATCTCAAATTCAGTCTGTATTCTTAAATGGTTTCTGCTACTGCTACAAGTACTTGGTCTTTTAACACAATTAACATTTTTATTAGAACTATTTTCCAATGCAGTTTTATGCCACCTTATTTTAACATACGGAATCTTTGACATCTACCTGGATAGTGACATGATCTCAAAAATTATTTGATTATTTCCATTACTCATTTATATTATTTATTCAAAAATATGATGTTGGGCAACATTACTGTCTTTTCTAAATTGATGAGTCACCAGACATTTGTGATGAAACCAGAAAAAGTAGATGCAAAACATATTGCTTTAGTTATAAAATTATTAAACTAACAGGAACAAATAGGTAATGTTTTTATTTCAGCATAAACATGATCCATTATGCTGCTCTGGTTTGCATATTGATTTAACTGGATTTGGGACCTGGTATCACAGAGCCATTTTTCTTATAACTTCATGAGCATCAGATCTATGACAGCTTGCTGGGCTTACCCACAATTTCTGTTTCAGTTGATCTGGGTGTGGGTTAAGCCTATGCTTTCTAGCAAATTCACAGATGATGCCAATGCTGCTTGTCAAAGGACCACACTTTGAGATCCACTGCCATAGGGATTCTAAACTAGATGAGAGTCTCGTGTTAAAATCCACTCTTAAGATATATTTAAATGAGAATTTGCGAATTTCTTTATTGTCTCCATTTTATCTGTTTTAGGTTTAACAAAGCAACATGATTGTTTATTTGTATACAAAAAAGAATTTAACTAAATTTACATAAATTTATGTCTGAGGACTAATAACTTTTGTCCTTATCAGGAGAATATTGTTAGGCATATCCACACTTAAAACTGCACATCCTTATGAAAATACTTTTTGTCTGTTATTAATAAAATGATGAGGGAAATTGTCCATATCAGTTATTAGAGAATTTCAAATTCATTCATGAATTGAAACAAATACAAATATATCTAATAATAGCCCAAAATACTATTGTTACACAAGGGCTAATTTATATCGACACTATTCTTACTCTCCTCTGATATTCGGAATTTCATTTCAAGGAGTAGTCTTTAGAAACTAAAGAATAGAAAGGATCATCTACTCATTCTTGCAGCAGCCCCATGAAATAGGAAATGCAGTCCTCAGCTTACAGATGAGAAAATCAAAGCTCTCTTTCTTTAGCTGATTGAAATTGCTACTACAAGGCCCGGCCCGTGGCTCACTCGGGGGAGTGCGGTGCTGATAACACCAAGGCCACAGGTTCGGATCCCATGTATGGATGGCCGGTTAGCTCGTTGGGTGAGCGTGGTGCTGACAACACCAAGTCAACAGTTAGGATCCCCTTACCGCTCATCTTTTTTTAAATAAATAAAATAAAACAAAATAAATTGAAACTACAAGAGACTAGTTTCTATGCTATGTCTATATTATTGCAAACCCATATTTTTCATACTACATCACACTGCTTGGATCAGATCCATAGCTCTTAATACTTTAAATTCACAAAAATTTTGGACTGGGATATAATGTCCTCTTTGACACTGAAGAATCAACTCGCTAAGGTGAAAAAATTACTCATGGTGGCCTAGCAGAAGATGCGATAGTGATGACTCATGATGTAGTTTGGTGATAGTGAAAACAATTTGCTTTTTAAATACCATAATTAAAAAAATGTTGAAATTATAATTCAAATAATTCACTTCACTCAAACAAAATCCAAACTCATAGAAGAACCATATGAATAGTTTGTCTTTGTTGTTTGGTACCTTGCTTGTTGCGGGCAGTAGCAACCTATCTAAACGGTCTTGGCCCTAATTTCCTGCGTCACATTCATATAAATCATCTTTTAGTGTCATCACTCTTCTGACAGCTCCTGTTGCCTTCATAGTTTTATTTGTCCTAATTTCAGAACAAGAACCTTATTTTTTGTGACCATCAAAGTTGGAGTATACCAATTTGTAGACAAAAAAGTTTTTTTTAAAGTCTTCAATATTAATATTTCCATGGGTGAGAGGGCAGGATTAAGGATCAGTTACTAAATCATGCCATAATTTTCATAAAAATATAACAACATAAATGAATATGTGCTATAGACTAGGACTACAAACAGTTTAAATTATTCGAGTAGAGGTATATTCATATGAAAAAAAGTAAATTTATTTATTCTTAAATTTATAAATAATTTAGATATAAAATTAAATTTTAAAAGTACAGCTAATATTATCATCTTGGGAGTGTAATTAGTAAAAGGTTAACACCCCCAACTATGACAAGAATTTTAAAAACTTATGAAATTTTGTGCAATTCCAATGAGCAGCCTGGAGTGAACTCCAATTAACTACTCAAAACAAAACAAAACAAAAGCCCTCACCTCTTCATGTTCATATTTTGTAAGGTGATAAAAGAAGAAAATATCTTTTGTGGAAACAACATTGCGTCAAGTCATAAGACTTGGGGTCAAGTCCTTGCTTTATCCATTGGCAAGTTTTGTGATCTTGCAAATTAATGTTTCTGGACATCTGTTTCTTTGTTAAAAAGAGGAATGGTACCACATTTGGTCATTTCTAAAGCTCCATTAAGTCCTAAAATTTTTTGAGAATCTGTAGCAGGAATAGCTTATACCAGTCCTCTTGGTTCTGTGACCTAGAAACCAAATCAATGGAGTAGTCCCTACAGTCCTTCAAGGGGTCAATGCCTTTGATCTTTCTGGCATCCTTGATTTTCAAGCATTCTGGTGGCAGTAAATTACTAAGAGAAAAAAAAAATCATCAAATGTAGGTTCTGAAATAATTATATAGTGGAAATTAAATGCCTCCATGTGATAATTTGCTAAGCCATTTCTGTCTCATGAGTAGGGATTTTACATGCAAGATTCAAGAAACTGGCATTTCTTTTTCTTTCCAAATCCCTGCCAGCCAAGTCACAATGAATGGTGCCATCTCTCAGTCTCTTGTCTTCTGCATAGATTGTCCCCCTCAAAACTTTTAGAATCTAAATCAGTTCACTTCCTCAGAGACTTGCCTTCTTTACTAGTTTTCTAAATTGCCTTACTGGTGTCTTGGAATATTTTTTGGTTTACTTACCTGAGTAGGTAGCAATATCTTCGCCTTGGTAATTCCCATCACTCTAAGGAGTCCAATATCATATGGTAAAAGAATTTTGCACTTAGAAATATAGTCCTGAGTTGGAATCCCAGCTTTGGTACTTGAAAGTTAAGTCACACAGTTTCTCACAAAGTAAAAAGGACACAAATAGCTACTTCATCAGGATTGTTGTGAATATTAAAGATATATCATTAAGATAGTTCTGTAGACTATGTGGCATCTTATGTATGCAAGATGTTATTGAGATTATTAGATATTCTTAGTGTGCCATATATTTCCAGGACATATAGTAAAAGACATCTATTTTCAAAAGAAAAAAATAAGAATTAAGATCAGAATTCAGAAAATTGGACGTAGCCTAGCAGAATTACAGAGCCCCAGTTTCAAGTTAGTATATATAGAAGTCATCTACTTGTTCTGTAGAACAAGTCTGAGATATACAAACATAGTTGTTATTTAAATACAAACAGAACAGTGTATTAAAATCTTTGTTTAATTTTTTTCCTATGGTAATCAAAGATCAATTGACTATCAAAAGTTTGTTATTTTTAAAAAAATTTACTGAGGATATTGTAGCTTTTGAAATTTGAGTTTAGCATAGAAATATTTGATTGAATGTATGTGTAATTTGGAAGTCCCTTCAAAATCAGTGTATTTAAAAATTCACACTTTCTTCTCAAAGAAAAGCCATATAAACCATGTCCTATTTCACATTTATTTAATCAAAATTATCAGTATTATGGTTTAATATTATGGTCGAGAATATTAAGATCCCTGAAAAATAAATTGAGAATCCTGGAAAATAAATGAACACTGATCATTACCTGTTTTTGAACTTTATTTTTCCAAATCTAAACTAGCTCTGTGACTAGTAATGTGACTCTCTTCCTCATACCTACTGTACCTATGATTATTTTGTCCTATTTTTTAGGGACCTCCTGGCTTACCTGGTCTCAAAGGTGATCCCGGCTCCAAGGGTGAGAAGGTGAGAATTAACGAGTGTGTTATTACAGTTTTGATATATTTATAGCAGAGGCAAGTACTTTTGAAGATTAAAATTATTTAAAAGGAAATTTCAAACAATATCTTTGTCATTCTAGCTGTGGAAAAAGCTTTCAATCCTCATCTTCCTAGATGTATTTAGAAAAGAGAAAATATACGAAGTAATAGAAAAAATACCAGAATTCAGTGTTGTTTTCTCAATGGTCCCTTTTAGGAACCATATGAAGAAAGCATATAGTTTTGCTAAAATAACTATTCAAAATAAACAGATGAAATAGCAAAATGCCCGTTTTTATGTTTTTAAACATGGAAATAAAATTTTAAATTAGAAATATCTTTCAAAGAGTAATTTGATCTATCAGTATTTATGCTGAGTTGAACCAAATAAGGAATATAAATGTTTGTTTAGAATGGCATTAATATTGTTTGGATTATTTTTAAATTTTCATATGTTTTTTAAAGACTGAAAAATCTCTGAAGAATAGAAATCATTTTATATTAAATGAGATTTAATGTTTCAATTATTTATTTCACCAATATTGTATATGGTAATTACTGGTCTTTTAGTTGAGTGAATTATTGAAATGAAACACTGAAGGTGGCATTTTTAGAAAGCATTCTGTTCCATAAAATGCCCAGCTCTTAATAAAGACCTGACTTAATGCAAGCAATAAATGATCCATTTAGGTGACAAGAGGGAAGTTTCTTAACCCTGTATTCCATTCAAAAGTGTTATTTTAATGTTTTTTATCATGAAGTTAACCTGCCAATATTCTATGACTAGAATTTTATGATGCTGTAATTTAGATATTATTTAAAATTTCTTTTCTCTGCCTTCCAAAGGGACATCCTGGTTTAATTGGCCTGATTGGTCCTCCGGGAGAACAAGGGGAGAAAGGTGACAGAGGACTCCCTGGAACTCAGGGATCTCCAGGAGCAAAGGGGGATGGGGTGAGTAACAATATAGATCATTTTTCCTACTCTTCTTGTAATACACACACACACACACACACACTCACACACACACACACAAACACACAAGCACACATTTGCACACTGTTCTTTAAACATGATCAGAGAAGTAATTTTGAGAGTCTTTATTTTAATCTGCTTAAGTCAGTGGTATTTTTAAAAAGAGATTTTTATTGTTCCTTAGAGTATATAAATTAAAAATATGATTAATCTAGGAATTATAATTCAGTAGTTACTTTCACAAACATGTACTGAACATGCATCACATGTAAATATTATTCTGAAGGCTGCAGGAATATAGAGATATATATACACGCACACACATACATACATACATACACATATATGTATATTACAAAAGCTTATTATAGACATTTCAGCAAAATGGGAAAAAAAAATTAGATTTTGCAAAAGTTCTTCCTTGGATTCACCATTGAAAATGTTTAGGCTATTTTTAAGTACTTTCAGATGCTCTCAACATAACTAATGCCAAACACGAAAATGGAACAGCTGAAGGAAACTCTTTACATTGCATGATTCTCTCTCTAGGGAATCTCAGGTCCTGCTGGTCCCATAGGTCCACCTGGTCCTCCAGGCTTACCAGTAAGTATAAAGCAAAAGACTCTTGAAAGGTAGAGTTAAGTTACAAATATACCAAAGAGACACATATGCTCCATATTTTTATCTGTGCTTTTGCCTTTGCATTTTCTAGGGTCCTCAAGGCCCAAAGGGTAACAAAGGCTCTACTGTAAGTAATTTTCCCTTTGGCATTTTAATTTTTCAATGAAGCCTATTCAGTTGCCTTGCTCTTTATTTATGTCCTGTCCCTTTTTCTTTTTAAACAGGGGCCTGCTGGCCAGAAGGGTGACAGTGGTCTTCCCGGGCCTCCTGGGCCTCCGGTAAGTGTATGTTAACAAGAGTGATGTTCTGATAATTCACATCTAGAGACTGCCAATGATTTCTCTGAATTTATAAGACAGACAAAAAAGCACATTCTGTCAAAAGTGCTGATTTTATAGGAAGTGGTAACTATATCAATTATGTAATCAAGTCTACATGCCAAGACTTATCTTTTAATTGATTTCACTCTTTAAATATAAAGATACCTTAACCATATATTATAATAACCTTCTTTTTATTAATTTTTCAAGACAATCGTATACTTTTTATGTCTCATTTTAATGAAACCAGCTGATTATATGTCACAAAGATACATTTATACCTGAGTCTAACAATAAAGACAAAAGTCCACATACTTGGCATTTTTTCCTAGCACATATAAAGATAGTAATAAAAGCAATAATTATAGCTACCATTTATTAATGCTGACATTATCCAGGCTTTGTACAACTATTAAGTGATAGAATTAAAATACAGATCCATATGAAAGAAATTTTAGTCTTCTTTCTGGAGCTAAAATGTTTCCAGCTATTTGAGCATTAGTATGCTGGGGCTGCCATAACAAAGTGGCTTAAACATCAGAGATATATTGTCTCACAGTTCTGGAAACTAGAAGACCTAGATCAAGGTGTCGGCTGTGCTGCTTCCTTCTGAGGGCCGTGGGGGAAAGACCTGTTCTGGACTTTTCTTCTTGGCTTGTGGATGGCGGTCTTCTCCCTGTGTCTCTGCACATCATCTTCCCTCCACGTGTGTCTCTGAGTCCAAATTTCCCCAGTTCTGAGGCTATCAATCATGCTGGATTAGGGCCCCCCCCCCCCGATGAA